TGTCAAATTGAAACTCTTTTCGCTCTCTCATGTGTGATTCAAAGACTCTGATTGAGTCTTAAATTTATTAACAGACTGTTTGAATTTTCATGGTAAGTTCCTCTGAGGAAGGCAAGCACCAAAGGGCCGGCGTCGGAACGGCAAGCCCTAAAGGGCCGGGCCTCGAAGAGGCAACCATTCGTTGTGTGAAAACCAAAACCAAAATCAAATAATTAGCCAACTTTTCGACCAAGTGGTTTAATTATAGGCAAAAAATAAACCAATCAGAACCTTTGAAATCAATCAGCTGATATCTTAAATATTTAATCATCTTTTGCTGGTGATTAAATACTTAGTTGTGTTGAATTTGCGTATCCTTTGTAAAGACAATATTCAACCCGTTCGTTGTCTTTTCAAATTCAAACCTTGTTTCGTTATGTTTACGAGTGATCTTAATTTTTTTTTTAAATTCTCCTTTAATCTGCTCCCTAATAACGTCAAAGTCAACTTAGTTTGCTTTTCTCCCAAGCTGGTTTTTTAACGTATAATACTGTGCGATCTGACGCAAAATCAAGTCGAAATCAACATCAGAAATTGATCCATCTTTGATTGCTTTTGAAAAAAACCTGCTTACTGTAAGGTCCTTTGCTTCAACGATTTAAGTTGTTTTCTCGTGCTTCGTGATTTTCGAATTAAGCGTTTTGCACCTGACCGTAAATGCTGTTGATATGGAGCCAATAAAGCAGCGAGACCTGCCAGGGGCGGTCACTCAGAGAAACTGTCAGACCGCTTGATGACAAAATGGCAGGAATGACACCAGTCATAGTGGATGTTGTGTGACAGATGCGTCTCACTTTTCCATACTTATTTTTATAATTCTTGTGATGGGAAATTTCATCCTGAAGTTCTTTTTGACAATCTTTAAAGTTGTTTTCTATAATCTTCCTGCATTGTAATCTTATCCTCCGGTATTGGTGGATAAAGTTTTGGAGCACTTGGGCCACAAAGCGGCTCTTGATTCATGGGGCTTCGCAAAATATTTTCGGAAGAGATTTTTAAATCACTAAACTATCTCTAACTCAAACCTCAAAGGAAAGGCCATTGAAGTTTAAGATCTCGTTATTCTCGTCGGTCACGAAAATTTGCATAGATGTGATGTCATTCCTCGATGGTATTTTCCGTTGAGTTGGGTATTTAAAATAATAGTTAACCCTTGTAACGAACGATACAGTAGACGGACCTTCACGTTATAACAAGAAGAAACCATTAACTGTTTTAATACAATAGTTGATCTAACACAGAGGTGAGACACAATGAATAGTCAAAGTCTAAAGATGGTATTTGATAACAGCATTCGTCCGAACCCTGTCTGTGGGGTTGCTCGACAATCTCGAAGCATCCAAGAACGCTTGAGGACTC